AACAATCTCCAGGTCTTTGGCGGCGAACATAGGGTCACACGTGAAGCCCATAACCAGTATATATCGGGTCCCGGAGGTGACCCTCTCGACGAAGTGCCGGTTCTCTGCGCCCGATGTGAACGCCGCCACTCTTCCCAACGTGGGCTCAATTGTTGTGTTCGACATCTCGTCCGTGAATATCAAGCGTCCGCCGGAGAAGTCCGCGCCATATGTCGACAAATATAGCAAACCAGTGAACTGCTCCATCTTTACGTCCCGTTTGTCGACGTGTCGGCGCCAATATAGCATTTGTCTGGTTTGCGGTCTCATTGCCGTAATTCGTCGGAAGTAAGTAGTGGTCGTTAAGTAGAGCTGAGCCGAAGAGATGCCGAAATGACCGGCAATCGTTTCGCGGATTTTATTGATCACTGCTCTGTAGACTTCTATGTCTTTTTCGGTGAACACCTCTTTGAGGTCATCTTCCGGTTGTTGTTGACGTTCAATGAGTTTATAGATATTTGCAAAATTAGTTGTCATCCAAACGACGGCCTTATGTAAGTATAGGGAAGTGACGCCGCCTGAAGGGCTGGCCAATGATAAGCCTTTCTTCGCGACTGACAACAAGTGTTTGGCTTCCGATTCCGTGACCACCGAATCGGACACAAAACGTCCGCATCTTTGAGGAGCACAAGACGGGAACCGAACTCTGTCTTCGTTGTAGTCTTGAGAACACATGACTTGCTGTGCGATCGGCGAACCCCTTATGGATTGAGTGGCCGAAGCCATCACTAGTTCGTTGGTGTCATTGCATTGAGTCGTGTAGTAAACCATCGCAAGAATAGCCATCGAGAGTGCCATTAGACTCATCATTCGCTTCATAATACTTTGGTTTTGTGGCCTTTCGGGCGACACTTCTTGAGACACCACACGAGACACGTTCTCCTCATTTGTGTCTCCATTCCTATTGACAACTCTTTCACGTCGATTGAGTCCATCCGAAGACATTGTGACCAATGAATAGATAAACCAATTAAATGTCATTGAAATCACAGAAAACAACTCAGCTCTGAACCAGATGTGTCTGGTTTACCTTTCACAAATATTGTTACACTTTTTCTGTCAAATATGGGTTAAATTGCCACTATTATGTAACATTATTGTTATACTAAATAACTGACCATTTCTATCATTATAATTAAATATTTTAACAAACCTTATATATTAAGTTACTTTTAAAAGCTAATATAAAACTTTAAAGGACAAAAGTCACAAAATATAGTATATATTTAAAAATAAATGCAGTATTGCCAAAATAAAATTTTCAATAAATTATAATTTTGATTAATTTTATAAATAATAATTAAATTAAGCAAAATGGCATACACAATCTTATTATTGCTATAGTTTTACTCGCATTTAATTATAATTATTTATGTATAACTATAGTAACTTATATCAAACAAAAAATGTAAGTTTTGTTTAAAACTAAATTTGCCTTAAACAATTTTCTTATTGGGTTTGATATATGATTTACTGATGAATAGATTTATTTTCAAAACAATATTTAGTTATGAAATATGTCGAGAAAAAATATTTGCATTTTATATGTATGCACACCTATGATATGCATAATTGCTGTTCAATTGATGGTTTTTATCACATTTAATGCTTAATGAAGAATATTTTAGTTCATTAGCCGCTCATTAAATATTTCATTTATACATTCAATTCAATTAATTTGGGAAAAACAATTATTTTGAAATTCAAATAGGCTTATGGAATGGAACCTGGTAAGTTAAGTCCTCTCCACTTATATATTATTTATTAAATAAAATTCATATCTGTAATATTAATATAAAGTTAAACAATTTTTAAATTAATATTATATTATAAGATATAAGAAAATACAATTATTACAATCATTATTTAACGCATTTGTAAATAGCTTGCACATCCATAGATAATCAATTCAATAACTTGAAATACAATTACAACAGGATATATAATTAATATTTTACGCATAAATATCCAAAATTCACGGAATGATAACGTGGATGACCTGGTTGATATAACTCTAATGCCTCCATATTTATGGTGAACGTCCACTATGCCGAATTTTAGGTAAATCCTCCATGTCCAATGATCTATCAAACCAGATTTTAGTACATCCATGATGCTTTAAATATATAGAAAATTATACTTAATTACACCAAGTTAACTTATTTAACAATATTGATCTATATAATTTAAAGTAAATTAGAAATATTAAATTAAAAGACTTTACAAATTGTTTAACTCATGAGTATATTTCGATCGCTTTGGTAATGCAATGGATGTAAAATCAATGTAAAACGTTGTGTCACTTGAATGATCTGGTACGATTTGTGTAAATATGCGATTGTAATGCACGTTGTACATTAAAATATGTCTTGGCGCTATTAACGAATATAAAGTATCAGTGTCATTCAATTTAGTTAGCAAATTGCTCATTTTGTCTTGTTTTAGATATTTCCCAATTTTTGTGTAATACAGCGATGTTTTGTCCTGGATAATAATCATGTTAAATCAATTTGAATAAGTATATAAAAAATCATTATTAATCAATTTAATTAAATGATTATTAGTTACTAGTCATCGTTATTAGTTTACACTCACCTTGAATAATTTACGGTATTTTGGTATATGCGCCGCAACAGTCTGCACATACCCGGCCTCCTGTGCCCTCACCAAGTCGTCAATCGTGTTAATCCTATTACCACTACTGGTGGCTGTTATCGAGTACACACGTCCGGCATAACACGCACTCAACACCAAACCCGCCAATAGGAGACCCGTTAATAACATACGGCCAACGAGTTTGTGCCAAATTATATGATCAACACTTTGTCCAAAATATATGGCTATAATTCTCCACATACTGTCCACTGGAGACATACGTCCGGCGATAGCCTTTAATAGTGTCGACGCGATGCCAATCGTAACGACAACACCAATCCAGACGTTGGTGTCAAAGGGCGTGAATAGGCTGGACGTGTCATATGTCCGCAGTGTGGGTGACGTGTATGTGATGGCGTCTACGATGTGGGGGTGGGTCAGATCAACCGCCACGTGTCTGTCCATTGTCTGGGTTACCTGTCCTATGCCTATGTCAGCCAACTGAGTGTGTGTGTATGGGAATGGGAGTCAAATGTGTGCAAGGTTAAAAATCCAAAGGCTAAGTTATATAAAATATTAAATTATATTATTTTACCCCTGATTGGACTAGACCAATAATACTGCCAGGTGGAAATGTTCCATTTGCCAGTTTATCGCCCCAGGATGATTTTGTGTCCACAATATTGAATGTAAAGTTCCATTTTAATGCCAATATATTTAAGAAATATGCTTCAATCCCGTAAATTTCATCTATTTCATTACCACCTTGCTTATATGTAATAAACATAAATGGTCGAGACTGTATAAAATAAAATAGATTATATATTAGATCGTAAAAAGGGCATTTTTAAATATTACCGTAGTTGTTGCTATTTGAAGCTTTTTATAATTTAGGTTTAGCATTTTAAAATAGTATATTTTTAACAAAACTAAAAATATTTACTTTAAAATATTTTCCTTAAATGATTAGATCGTTTAATAATAAAATTTTTAATTTTTAATCTGTTCCTATCTCCAATATAACTAAAATTCATTTAACAAAGGTTTGTTTAAATGTTTGAAATATTAAAGTTTTATATTTTTAATCAAGGTTTGTAAGCTAAGTTCGAAAACCTAATTTATATTAAAACATTTATATAATACAAACATTATTTATTTTCAAAACTAAAATACTGGGATAAGTTTGATAATTTAAGTCCATATATGAGAGATCTGTTTACTTATAATATATTTTATTTATAATATTAGTATTATTTTTAAAGTTGTAATCTATATAATTTCGTTATGTCATTTAGAATTATACATTGTACTATATACTTTTAAACATTTATTATAATATTAATTATTTACTTTATTTAATAAAATATTTCTCATTTTAATTATACAAATAAATGAATATAAAAGGTTTTTTATTAAATAAATTTTTAATTAATACTTTTATTGAATTACACGATAAGAATAATATTATTAGATTGGACTAGTAAAATAATGTTGCATAAAGCTTTTTAAAAAATAAAAAATTTATATAACAATTATTGTGTAATAATAAATTAAATAATTTTTTTTATTTATATTCAATTTAAAGTTTTAAATGATTAAACCATTATCTATAGAGTTTACTTCATTATTTAATATTTTCTATTATTTATATTATGCCTTATATATTTTAATTATTATGTTTATAATCTATGATATAATGTTTTATGCACATTTTATTATATATTTAAATAAAATAAATAGTATAAAATTATTAGCAATATTGTCGTATTAAAATTAGTATACATACAAATTACATACAAGCATGCATAGTTACAAAACACACAAATTTAAAATTATTTTACGATCTAGTTAAAAATAATTATTTATTTAAAAAGCCATGTAAAAATAATTTAAATAAAATTATTTATTATTTAAAGTAAAATACTATAGGGACAGCTATTCTACAACAAATATTAAATTATTTATTTATTTATTATTTGTAAATCAATTATTACTACAGTATTAATTTTAATTTATTTTAAAATTTAAGAATATTTAATTAATTAATTAAATATTGAGTACACTTTAATGAAACATTTTGTAGACTGTGACACATATTGTGTAAATAGTATAAAGCAAAATATTATTGAAACAAGTATTTACCACTAGGCGTACAGTTTATGAGCAACCATCATAGACATATTGCAATCGAATAGCGTATAGTTTTCTACAGTAATACTTATAGCTTTGTAAAAATTACTTTTTTTTGTGCACGTGATCATTATTTTAAATTTTGCACACAAAACATAGCTAACACAATTAATTTGCCTTACAATTACCTAACACAAGTGATTCCTACAAAATAATATTAATTTCTGCTTAAATATACTCAACTAATATGTGATAACCAAGGTAATAATTTATCAAATAACGAGCATGTTAATATTTTATTCTAATATTTTAATTATAATAATTTTGTTACAGTTTTTGGATAGTTATGGGCGAAACCGACGGATGCAGAGTTATTGGAAACATACTATGGCTGGTAATAAGTGACCATGATGCATAAATTTGTTGTACAATCAATTATATCATCAGGGTCTGGCAATTGTCATGATAATATTGGGTGGCGTCACCTACGCCCAGAACAATAATAGCACCGCTATTATCGCTATTATATGCGGCACCTGTATGCTCAAGAGCTATTTGATCAACATATTCTGCCCTAATAGATGCCTGGTAAAATATATTCAAAATGTTTATATACACGGTAGATGATAATAAATTATGTTACCATAGTTTGGCGTAGGTGTCATGGTGATTATATCGCTACAGATTGCGTTAATGAGCATGTGCTTTCAATCCACCGTGGACGTATGTTGTTAAAAATAAGTTTCATAAACAATTATTGTATTAATTAATTGTATGCTACCATGGTGATATATAGCTCGATGTGGCCCTGGGTGTAGTTGGTCTACTAGGGCTGGTCATAGAGTTGGGTATGTTTGTGACCATTTCGCCTGGAAATACGTTAGGCTATAGCGGGCTGACCGACTCGAACGGCTATAACAGTTACCGGACTTTCAATTATTAGTAGTACTGTATATGTTGTGAAAAAAATATTAATAATTAATGAAAACATGTCATAAAAGTGTTACAAAAAAAACACTGCATTTGTATTGCAATTATTTATTTACTCATACAATGAGGCAATTTTTTGTATAAACTTTGTAAACGTTTTCTAATATTATTTAATTAATACAAGTTTAATAAAATTCGCTTAATTAAGCTAACATTTTATTATGAATTACCATGAACAAATAAATATTTATAATTTTAATTATAAGTACAAATTATTTAATCCGTTTCCACACACGGATGGCCTGATTTTGAGGCCTAACCTCGTCCTTAGACACCAAAAAGCTCAACGAAATAGGCTTTCCGTTATCAATACCCGTCAACATATGCCTACTATCCTGACCGGGGATTACATCCATTTCCTTATCCTCGATATAGTCATCCCATCGATGCACATGAACTAACCTTGGTGAACTCTCACCCTGTGTGCCATTGCCAAACATATTACTGCCACCACCTTCAGCCCGGAAAAATAAGCCAGCATACTTGGGCGTAACATTTTCCCATGCTAACTTTGGATATAATTTATGCGGCTCTAACTGACCAGGCAACTGTACGTAAATGAAACCAATGGGAAATGTGCTTGTTTGAATATCGGCCACAGTTTTTTGTAGGTTATCAGTTAACTTTTTATATTTATCAAGCTCGTTTTGTTGATCAATTAATAACTGCTGAATATGACCTAGTGACCATGGTTGCATTTTTTGACATACTAGTACATTTTTCTTGGCACATGGCTCATCCACCCATTTACCAGTTATAGGATCCTCAGGTACAATTTCTATGCATTCATTGCTAATATTTTTAGGACTACCCGGTGCCCAATTGGTGTATTGACCCTGGGTACCGTCATCCCACGTGACCACATGCCTGTCCACTTTGGCACCGATCCACACGTGATCAACCAATTTGTGTTTGTTAAATAATAAGTCAGTTAAAAAGGTTTGCTCATTTTGCGTGTGTATAATCGGCAAGGTGGCATTTTTGTCTTGAGATAAACAGTTAACTTGAGCATCTATATAACTAACCATGGTGTCCGGTAGGATTTTATAACATTTTTTGTCTCCATAGGCTTCCCAACCGTTCCCACATTGTGTGTCCGCATAGGCACTATAAGCTGTAAATAATAAAATAAATTTTAAAATTTAATAAAATTATAAATAAATAAATACGTACTAAAAAGTAATATGAAAGTTTTAATAGTTAACACAATGTTTTTCATTTTGTATTATTGTGTTTTAATTAATATTATTTTTGAACTGATTTATATAGCTAAATTTATTTTGATAAAATGCACATCGATCACTAGTACTCATATACTAATTGTAATAATGAATTAATAGAAAATTATTATCTAGGGATAAAATAAATAGTTAACAAAATTATCTTAGAATTATTAAAAACAAAACACTAGAAATATTTATCATTTGATTTTTATATAGATTTTCTTTGTAATAATACAATTATTTATTTATTTTATTATAATTAAATAAATGTGAATAAATACAAGTTATTTAAATCTATAACTTTTATTTATTATAAATTTTACTATAATAATAGTTACACTTTTTTAAAACAAATTATAATTAAAAATAATTGTTATCGTAATAAATCTTATTTTAATAAATCCTTAACATAGTACATTTAATGATATTAACTACGTTATCTACTAATATAAGATTAATAATGTTATTTATAGAAAATAAATTGATATTATTATTAAAAGTCTTAGCTTATCATAAATATAAGCTATAATTAAAAGCAATATAATTGAATTCAAGTGTTTTATAACATTTAGATTTTATCATACTTATAGTTATAAATCTTATCTTAAATTAATTGTAATTAACGTCATAGAAAATTTTAAAAATAATTATTACAAGGGTATTTATTATTTTACACCAAAGTACATATCCACTGATAATTAATTTAATTATTTAATATTAATTATACTAGGGTAGTTAAGCGTAATTTTGATACAGTGCTAATATTATGTGTAAAGTTAAAAGTAAAATTTATTTTATAGATTATATAAATATTTTAAACATTTAATTTTGTTTACAAAATATTTTTCAATCAATACTTATTAATCAATTAAATATTTGAATTATTATTTAATTTAAGGTTAGAAATTATTTTAAAAATTAAATATACTATACCCACAGCTATAATATGTATACATGTTTAATGGTTATTTAGATTGCAATATTTTCCATAATTATTTTTATTTATTATAAATTCTAAACTAGTTTGTTTAATACATTTATATTGTAAATAGCAAATTATTACTGAATTATATTGTACGAATTTTATAACTGTTTAAATGTTACTATCAATAATATTTTAATGCAATAATTTTGTACAAATTAAAATAATTTTAATACACAAAAATGCAATATAAAATTAAACTTTCTTTTATGTTTATTAAATAAATACTGTACTTTATAATATACCTTATACTTTATATTATAAAACGTATAATATACAGTTTTAGTAATTTTTAAAATATTTGCTTTTATACATTCAAAATATTTTTGTACAGTTGCGATTAGTTTAGTTAAACAACATACTAGTTCAGTATACCGGATGAAACAAACATCATTCATTAGAAAATCATCAAGGATAATGCAATAACATACCGGGAAATATTAATATTAACAAGTTTAGTTTCTTACTTATAATTAAATGTTTGAATTATTTTTAACGTAAAGGATGTTTATTTAAATAAAATAATATAATATACTGTATTATACCATTTTATGAAAGCTATGTCACATGTATGAAAATTTTAATTTATATTTTATATTCTTACATTATTTTTATGTAATATTAAACTCATACAGGTAAATAAAATAGTTGCACACTTTTATATAACTATTTCTAATTATTCCACGCCTTGATTGTAAAATTTGAATTCTATATAGACTCGTGGAATTGAATAACTTTATGCGTTAGGAATTTACTACGCCAAAACGGATAATCCAATCCTTATCCTCTCTTCACAGTTTTATAGCCCCAACTTCTCGGTTTGTAAAAAATATTTATTTGGTATAAAAATCTACCATGGTAACTGCGCCATTTGAGTTTATATAAAAGAGGTTTTTCCATTGAAATACATTATATTTGGTGATCGAAAATTTACAGTAACAATATGTATAAATAAAACCTTAATAATTTATAAACTAACCATGATAAAATTAATCTATTTAAAGGGAATTTAAATTACACGATTCTAAATATTCTCCCGAAGACAGAACATTTCTAGACAAATTATCAGTGAACTAAAATTGATTCACTGTACAGAAATAACTACATTAGATAAAATTAATTTGAGGACTGGATTTGAAAGATAATTAAAAATGAGCGAGTACCTATTTCAGGAATTTTTTATTTACATTAAATTTAAATTTTTAATTTAAAAATATAAATAATTTTGCATAATTAATAATTTTATAATGTTTATTAATATTAAATTTAATAATTATAAAAAAATTCCTGATATAGGTACTCGCTCATTTTTAATTATCTTTCAATTCCAGTCCTCAAATTAATTTTATCTGTTGTAGTTTTTGCTGTACAGAAAATCTACAAATAAATTTTTTTACAAACCGAGAAGTTGGGGCTATAAAACTGTGAAGAGAGGATAAGGATTGGATTATCCGTTTTGGCGTAGTAAATTCCTAACGCATAAAGTTATTCAATTCCACGAGTGTATTACGAAATA